ATAGAAGAGAACCGATCATCTGTTAAAACAGAGTGCGTGTTTCCGGATCACAAGTTTCCTTGTTCTCCGTAATAACAACTCCTGGTGCAAAGGGTGTATCTATGGGGATACTATCCATCATGTCAAAGCGCTCTAGGACACTGACTAAGTAGCGACGCTGATTGATGAGAATTGAGCCAGACTCTTTATCTTGGACAATATCCAAACCAAGGAAGTCAAGTTCCTGGCCTAAGTCAGTCATTTTAAAACGACTCTTGAGCTCTGACTTCAATGTAGCGATAGATTTCGAGTTATTCCCCATAATAAGCATGTCGTCGACATATAGCAACAAAACAACAGTGATGCTTATATCTCCCTCCTGTCGACGATATACGTAGACACCCCCATCAGAGTATGTCCTGAGGAAACCAAGTTCAAGCAACGCCTCATGAATCTTCTTCTTCCACACACGTGCGGCTTGATGAAGACCATATAATGACTTTTTGAGACGAGCGACTTGATCGCGGGTAAACTGAGGAAAGGACGGTGGTAGTTCAGGCAATTCCATGTAGATCTCCTCGTCTAAGTCTCCATGGAGGAAAGCGGACTTGACGTCCATGCCATGAATTTCCCAACCTTCAAGTGCAGCAATAGCGAAGAGTACGCAAACAGCCTCAAAGCTAACAACAGGAGCGAAGACCTCGTTGAAATCAACGCCATGAATTTGTGTATACCCCTTGACAACTAACCGAGCCTTATAGCGACTATCCCGTTTCTTCGTAAATACCCAACGACATTTGACAGTGAAGCGACCCTTTGGAATATCTTTGCGATTGACAACTACCCGAGTGTTATTGTCCTCGAGTGCATAGAACTCTTCGCCAACCGCAATGATCCACTCAGGGGCCTCATCACTATCCAATGCGTCTTCAAGATGTTCGGGTATTCCATCTGCCCTCATTCTATTAAGATAATCAGACAGATTAAAATCGGGAGGAATGACTTTTCGCATAAGCTCGTCAATTGAATCAACTTTTCCTTCAGCACGACGACGACGTGTCTGTGCGTCCAGGTACTCGGGCCATTCCTTTTCAACAACTGTCCTCTCCCTATTGCTACAATGCAAAGGCGGAGCAGGAGGTTGAGGAGGTGGCGGAGCATTATTATCAAGGGGAGGAGCACCCCCATCAGGCTGTGCCGGGGGTTGCTCATGCTGCGGAACTGTCCAATCCATGTAAACAGGCTCAGGGACATACCTTGAGATTGTATCCGCTCTTTGGCTGGGAATACTCCTTCATCAAAGACAACATTTGAAGAAGTAACAACCCGTTGTTTAAACGGATCCCAAAAACGATATACACTTCCTTCGGAATTATCATAACCAATAAAGATGACGAAATTATTGTGAGCGTCACCCTTAGTAGCATATTGGTTCTGATTAATGATGGAAGCTTTACAGCCAAATACGCGGAAATATTTGATCGATGGTTTATTACCAACCCAAATCTCATAGGGGGTACGCCAACCAATCCTCGCCATTGGTTGACGATTGTATATGTGGGTTGCGCATTCTAATGCCAACTGCCAAAAGCGCTTCGAGAGGCCTGTGTCTAGACGCATTGACTCAGCCTTCTCTTGTAAAGTCCGGTTGATCCGTTCTGCCCGCCCATTCTGCTGGGGTTCGTATGCAGCAGAAAGATTGTGCGTAATGCCATGCTCAGCCAAAAAGGCTTCAAATTCCTCGGAGATAAATTCCTGAGCACGGTCAGAACGGAGAGCTTTGATCTTTCTCTCAGTTTCAAGTTCAACTCGCGCCTTAAAACGTTTGAAGGCCTGCAGAGCTTCACTCTTATGGGCTAGGTAGTCTTGGTTGGCGACCGAAGAATGATCATCCAAGAAGGTAATAGCGTAAGCCTTCCCTCCTTTTCCACTACCATATTTGAGAGATTCAACCGGAAATGGTCCCATGATGTCCATATGTATGAGGTCTAATACATCCTCACTACGAGACGTGGACTCAGGGTAGTGGCGCTTATGCTGCTTCCCAAGCAGGCAACCGTCACAAATGGGATGACCTTTGTCTTTAAACAGAGGAGGGACGCCATCAACCTGTGTAGGCAGGCGACGAACAGCCCTCTCAGACGCGTGGCCAAGACGCTTATGCCAAAGATAAGTAGACTCTGGCTTGGATGCAACATGGAGAGAAGGTGGTTTGATGATCTCATCTGGTATAAACCAGTAGAGTCCGTGGATATTACGACCCTCTATAAAAACTTTGCCCGAACGGCCACCAGAAGTAAAATACTTTGCATCCGTAATCTGGCATAAACCGTTCCTAATAACCCAAGTATAGCCGGCGTGGTCCATGGGCGATGCGGATAAATAGCGACCTTTGACATGAGGATTGTATATAACATCCTTAAATTCAAGGACTTCACCATGGTTTCGGACTTTTTTATGGTACCTACGCCAAGACTGGCATGTCTCGAACCATCGGCTACGGTGATATGTCCACGCATTGGGTGATCATAGTCGATCTCGTAAAAATCCTTAGGATAACTAGACACATTGTTCGTACATCCAGAATCCTGAAGGAAACCTCTCTCTGATATAGCCACAAGATCATCAATATGATCGTGGTTTGCTACTGCTTCACTTGCGCTCACTCTGATATAAGCGGAGAAAACAGGTGTATTGGTACCGGAACCAGAAGCAACAGCATTGTTTACATTCGTACTACCCCCATTGGCTTTGCCTTTGCCCTTGCCTTTACCCTTGCCTTTGCCCTTATGATGCTTAGGGCGCTTCTCAGGGTACTTGACCCAGCATTGGTTCGAAGGATGATTACCCCCACAAGTTTCACACTTCTTCTTGCCAGGAAGACGAGTGACTGTGGAAATATTATGGGCCGATCCTTCGCCCTGGGAAGTGTTGAATTTGACTGTGGTCAAGATCGTCTGCTTGACCACACCAGGCTTGAGCTTGTCGGCCGCAGTGTTAGCAAGGTAGGAAGTTACCCAGCCTTCAGAAGCAGGGAGTGCCGACAAAAGCATGAGAGAATACTGGGTATCAGTGACCTCCATGCCAGCAGTGATAGCAGAGTTACGAAGGGTGTCCATCTGGTCGATTTGCTTCTCCAGAGTCTCCCCCGCAACCAACTTGTAGGAGTTGAGCAGCTTCCAATGCAAAAAGTCTTCTACTGCAGCTGTTTTGCTAAAAGCTTCTGCTAGAGCATCCCAAAGCTCCTTGGCATTTCGCTTGACCTTGGTAGTGCCGCTGACCTTGGAGCCGTATTCTCTCTGCAAGGTATTGGTCATATGGGCCTTCATGAGACCAACAGCGACCCAATTGGCTTCGTCCCATTTGGCTAGGGCTTCTACCTGGTCATCTGCAGGGCGATGAATGGTTCCTTCAGTATGCCCCCACACTTTCTGGATCATAAGGAGGTTCGAAATACTCTCCTCCCAGACCTGATAATTGGTGCCATCCAACTTTGGGATGACAGTTGAAACAGTACCAGTAAGTGACATTTCTAGCGCAACTAGTTCCTGGAGGGTTGGTGGGATTGGATAGTAAGGAGTACCAAAGAGTCGATGAAGTTCAGGAGAGTAATTTTCGGCGTAATCGTCAAAATCTGGATTTTCGTGGTCTCCTACACTGTAAAGCTCAGCAGAGTTATATCCTCCACTGGTGTTCAAAGAGTTGTAGTAAGAGTGTTCTTCGTCGTAATCACCGGGGTACCAGTAAAGAATTGGTGTAGACGATGGATCCAGTTTAATCTGATACTTCAAAGGAAGTCAGATCGGTTGTCAACAATAGAGAGAGGTGGATAGTGCTCTGTGACCCTACAGTCGACAGAGTGCCAAGTACTAAAGGCCTAGCATAGTGTGCCCCAAATATGTAATGCCCCAGAAGAAGAGTAAAATCTATCTATCTAAGGGAACCCAGATGCCCCATGCACGCAGTTGTATTGCCCACATGGTCCAGTTCGTCCAAGAACTGTTTTAGGTGGCTTGTCCCAAGGACTACGTAATTATCTAAATATAGTATATGCCGAAGGGTGTTTATGACAACCACAATGGGCAATCATTCCCTTTTGACACATCTGCCACACGAGGACAGAGGTCCACCCTTTTCTGTTCAGGACAGCATCTCACAGCCTCGCAACTCCCTAAGGAGATGTCCCCAACAATCCCTTCTGTGCAGAGGTCTGATCGAGTTTGAGATGCACTGACAGGGCCTGGTCGCTAGCCAGAATGATCGGTGTTGAACCGTCATATTGCTGTTATGAATTTACCCCACTGGGGAAGGACTGGCTATGCGCTTGAACCTGAAGTGAGAGCAGGGCCGGCAATGGCAATACTAGGTTAAGAAATGATAGGTAAAAAGAGGGGGCTTTGTGTAGGTAAAGGGGCAACACTAGCCTTGACACAAAGTGCCATGCCATGTCCAATAAAGGACAGTACAATAGAGGCAGCACCGATCCGAGCAAGAAGGACTTGCCTTATGCAGGAGAAGGGGCGGGGCCCATAACCTGACAAGACGATATCAGAACTGTGTGAATAACAACAGGACTGGATTGAGTATATACCTGACAAGACGATATCTACATAGAGTCATAAGCATATGTAAGATAGAGGAAAGCATGTAAGTAACTCACCAGAACTGTGTGAATAACAACAGGACTGGAGAGATGACGAGCTAGACTACTCAGTATATATACTCAGGCTAGCTATGCTGACTACACTACATTGACTACGATTTATAAGTACGATGAGTAAGTAAAGGTAGAGGATGACTGAGCGAGTATTCAGTCCTTACCAAGCACATTGGTTATTACCAAGCGGTCATGTGCAAGTATGGTAAGCGGATATGACTTCAACTTCAACATCCGTTTTAAAATGAACCGCCTCTAAGCTGTGTATCCCATTTGTTCCGTGTGATCTCTTGAGGAAACCGCGGAACAGCCATTTTCATATTTGCTTTCAACTACTTATGTGCACGCCTCCGGACACAATTCCTCACGATGCCCACCCCTGTGTCTTGAGCCACTCCAGCACCAGCTTATTCACTTCGTCCGCATGCGACAGCAGCGCCCAATGGTCGCCGTCGACGCTCTTCTCTGTGTTCTTGGCGACGGGGACGTACTGCGCATGTGTGGCGCGGCCAAACGCGGGGATCGCGATTGGGTCGCCGTTAAAGGCCACGAAGAGCACGGGCCGGTCGAGCGTGTGCCGCTCGGCGGGGATGCGCGCGTCGTCTGCGGCATGTTCGGGCGTGGTTAGCCCGCGGTACCAGCAGAGCGGCGCGGCGAGCGCGGAGGAGAGGGCGGTGGTGTAGTATGCTTTGTCCTGGGGGAGCTTAGAGGTATTTAAGTATCGAAGGCTACGCACCTCGGCGCTGATATACGGCGGGAGTTCTGTTGTCCGGTTTGACTCGATCCACGCCTTGGCTTTCCCATCGACACACATATTTTCCCGCCAGATCTGCTCCTTGTCGCTCTGGATGGGGAACAGCAGGCTGAAGAACGAGTCGAACTGCTCAAATTAGCGCCGCATACACAAGCTTGGAGGACGCACATTCTTCTCCATGAGCACATGGGCATCCGACTCGACAAAGTACCTCATGTACGCGACGATGTCGTACCCCACGGCGGCCGCAATCTGCTCCGACTGCGCGATCGGGTCGGCGTACACGGAGGCGGGCGGGCCGTAGCCCGACGCGAGGAACGCGCACCCGAGCACGCGCTCCGGGTGGTAGTTGTACAAGCGCGATACCACGCGTGTTCCCCTGCGCTGGACATCAGGTGACATACAAATGGGAGAGGGAAAACGAAATCAGGGGGTTGGGGGTGGAAAACCTTGGCCGTCGCCGGAAGGGCTGTTTGAGGGCGAAAAAGGCGGAGCAATGCTCCGCGCAACGGGCTCCGCGGCAAGCGGCAGCCCCCAGTAGGGTGGTACACTCCAAATAAGAGGACGTCACGCACCAGTCATGTCCCACCGCGATCACCTGCTCGATGCCCTCCTTATCCAAAACATCCGCGATGTCCTGTGCGAGCCCGCTGCCGAGATAGGCCACCGGGTCGACCGGCTTGTCCGTCCCGCCGTAGCCGAGCATGTCTGGCGCGACGACGCCGAAGCCCAGTGGCTCGAAGAATGCGATCTGGCGGCGCCACACGTAGGCGGGCGTCGGGAAGCCGTGCGCGAAGAGCAGCGTCGGCTTGCCGGCGGTTGCGGGGGAGAAGTAGTATGCGTAGGTGAACCCGCGGCGGGTGGTGGTGGTGCGGTTCGTCAGGGCCATGGGAGAAGGATGAGAAAGGGGGTTATCGATGGCCAATCGTCCTGAGCTCGAGTCAGTTGAGACGGCGATCGATACCGGGGCTTCCCTGAGTTAGGGGCGCTAGTGCTGCCGCGCATGCCAAGACGGCCGAAGGTGTCTCCAATCCAATTGTCGCATCTGGGATGCCCAGCGGCCACAGCTCTGCGGCTGGCTCACTGGTTATGGTTCAGCGAAGAGGATGACGGCGGAGGAGAAAAGCAGAAAAAATGATGCGCCACGTGGCAGTGTGATAGCGATCGCCGGATCGCTCTGGTGAAGTTCTTCAAGTTCCCATAACACCGGACACAGGCTGACACAGGTCCCAGCATGCGGCGTCCCGCCCGCGAACACATCCGACGTGTGCTGGAGCCTGGCGATCCTGAGATAAGAGCAGTGCGGAGCCTGGACCGATACCCGAATAAGCCGAAGATCTGTACTACAAACCTTGGACGCTTCAAGAGCTGAGTCTTGTGCTCAAACATCACAGAGGGAAAATCCTTGCGCAGCGCATGTGCGGCTGCTGCTGAAATTTCTTCACCTCCCCAAGGATAAATAGCCACCGGCCCCCACAGCCTAGCCCCCTTCCGCTCCTCCATCGCACACCAGGTATCTGCCACGGATCCGCCCTCCTCCCCGCATCTGACATCCTCAGCGCACCATGCACACCCACATCTCTCCGCGGACCCTCCTCCTCGGCCTGACACTCCTCGCCGGCCGCGCCGCCGCCGCCGGGCTCGTCCAGTCGTTCGCCGGGGCGAACTGCACCGGCGAGCTGATCGGCGCCGACGCCGAAGTTCTCGCGGGCGACTGCACGGTAGTGTCGCTCTCCGGCGCCGGTGCGCGCAGCGTCGGGTGGCGCGCCATCTACGCCATAGAGCTGTTCACAACGGGTGGCGCGCAGGACATATGCACCGGCCCGGCCGCGAGCGGCGTCGTGCGTGACGCGGAAGGTGTGGGGTGCGCGACCGCGCCGGACGGGTAAGCGGCTTTTTGGTTTTGTGGGGCTGGTGGGGCTGACGGTGCCTAGGTTCAACTGGCAGAGCGTGTTTGTCTCGGAGGCGGAGGCATGATGATGTGGTCCAATTGGTGCCTAGCCCTGTAGAGCTGTCGAAGACTGCCGTTTCTTTATGTAGAGGAGGGCTGCAGTTTGAAGGGGAGAAAGGCACGCGTGTCCACCGTGCTAGACAGGTCATATTTGTGCAGCCTTGTCGTGCGTCCAACTACAAGAGGATTCGCACCGCCAAGAAAGCGGTGGCTCGGCGCACTCGGGCATCGTCTCCACCACTTCCGTCGGGATTGTCAGCCCCAGAGTGCCACTTCAGGAAAAACCTCCCCCAGAAATTTGATGAGATTTCGGGAAATTTCCCGAAATCACCTTGAATTTTAACTGATTTCTCCGATTTCCAAAATTTCTGGGATTCCTTTAGTCCCCCAGAAATTTCGGGAAATCAGAGTAAATTTCCTGAAAATTTCCAGGCATTTTAGTGCTGTTCCGCGCTACTGGCAGTGGCGCGGGCGAGTCGTGACGTCGGTGGTGCGCATGTACAGCAAGTCTACGCATTCGCTGCCGGGGCGGCTGCCCAAAGTAGCGCGGTTTGGGCCCCAAATCGCGCTTCACCCTCCGAGTCGTCCACCAGCGGACCCAAGTGTCCACCTGCACAGTGTCGCCAGCGGCTCCACGGCCCTTTTGTTCGTCCAGATTTCGCGGCGGCCTCGGCCTCAGCGTGGCCGGCACGCACTGGTGGCCCGTGGCAGTTAAAAGAGAAGAAGCGACGCCGATCATTACTAATTTACGCGTGCGTGACACTACGTCACATGCCGAAATGCGCTCCCACGCTCCTTGGACCGCGACGGTCACCACGCCCGCAGCCAGCGCGCTGCGCGGTGAGCGTCACCGTGTTTTAGCTATAACATCTTTTTTCATTGTTTAATAGTGTAATGAGGTTTTTTGCTCTTTATGAGCTTGTTGAGTAGTGTTTCTGACTGATCTTGAGGCGGTTGGGATGTGCTTTTGTCCAGAAGTGAAACATGTGTCCTGATGATTTGAAGGTTTGTGTTTTCAACTGTGAGCTTTGTTTTTCCTGGATTGAAGTTTGAGTGATGTGTCTTGAGGTAAGCAGATGGTGGTTTGTGGTTTGAGGTTGGGGTTGTCTGACAGGGATTGTCATCAGATGACAATCCATCATAATCGGACCATGATCAGACCATGATTGACAATGGTCTGTTCAATATCTCATTGCTGATATTTATGCAGGAAGCTCACCTATTTTGAATGAGTTTGGACCCAGACTGAAAAAGTAACTATAATTAAATTTAGTAATTAATGTACAGATTTGTTGATTATAACCCACAATTACTATTGAAGGCAACAATACTACAGTTGGGGACAAACAAAGGCAGCAAAAAAAATATAAGTGATAGAAATATTATGAAAATTTGTGAGAATGTAGACCTCATAGGTAGGAACCCACCCACAAATTTTCAGCAAATCTTGGCCACAAGCACTTTAAACCTATAGATTTAGATCAAATCGGGTACCGTTGCAATTGTCTTGATGAGTAGAGTCTGAATCTGCAAGAATTGAGGAAATTCAACGTCACATTGGCTCACAATAGGGTCATCAATATCTGGGTCACATAAGTAACACTTCTTGACACATCATGAGTGCCTGCCAGAAAACATGAGGCTGCCACATGTTTGAGCAGCGCAGACAAGCTCTCTCTCATGCCTCCAAAGATTGAAAAGAAACCTCAACATGGACCTTGGGGTAAGTGCTATAATTGAATAGTTTAGGCTTATCTTTCTTATAGAGTGGATAGGTCCTTACATTAAAGGACTGCAAACCAGTTTGTCCACTGAAAAATCAAGACTGCTGCATGGCCAGACTTCTCAGTAATCAGGATGACTTCAAAAAGAAAAATATAGGAAAACTCCTACCAACTATACAATAGCACACAGGGGCCCAATGACTTATTAAATATCTTGCCTATGTTATTTGACATGAAATTGAGAATACTTACTTACCTAGAAGTTAGCACACACTTAGCCTGAGGTGTTAGCATGGTAAATAACCCTAAGTATGATGTGTTCATATACTGGGTGCAACATATCAGACACAGCTTCATATTTGAATTAGGATTGGTTATGTTTTACAGCTTTTGTTACCAATTCAGGGCTTTAACAGCACAGTGCCAGTGACCCTTGAAATGGCAGTGTGGAGTAAATGAAATACTAAGGCCAGCGCCAAACATGTGCATACATTTACACGGCATATGGTTAATATAAGAGTAATCAGCCAAGGATGACTATATAATTATCTATGCCTTCTTCCAGGGCTGTAGACCATGCCATATGCAGCTATGGCCGTGATATAGTACAATATTTGACAGTGCCATCACACCGTATGACAGTGATAGGACAGTATCCTGGTCTCATTCCTATAATCCCAGCCAAATTTTGCCCTGGAGTGACCTGGGTCAGGCAGTGGTGCTGATCACCTGTCTAGAGAGGCTTGTCTGGCCCCATAGGTTGACCCAGAACTCCAATACAATATAGTTATGGCACTATATTGTGGTTGGCTATATGTGTATATTATGGTGATTGCCCCGCCCTAATTGTTTCTCACACTTCCGAATCAGGAAATATTCATTAATTTTTCTCTTAATTATTTCTCCATTACCTATAGTTTACTAAAAGCAAATCTAGCCTTAACTATATTGGAATATCATATGTAAATGTTCAATCCTGAGAATCTCAAAGAGCTGAATGATGCTCATTTGACCATACTAGTAGCAATCACAACTATCTAAGGTTTTAGCATTAAGCCTGAGAATGTGAAGAGCTTGTTACTTTGATATACTTTTATAATTCTAAACCTGACTTACTGGATCTATATAATCAAGCCTAGAAATAATAGTAGGGCTCTGTGAGGACTAATTTATAATGATAGCGAAAATAATCTTATACCCAACTAGTTGTTTATATAAGATTTCATCTTAAATCTGAGCAATTCAAGTTTGGTATCTTACTAGCATTCATGAGATATTTTTGTACAATAATAACTTTTGATAATATACTTAAGCCCAAGTATGAGTACCATACCTACCATAGCAATGACAATACTCTTGAATCTGACTAACTCCATTTATATTATTAAGCCTAGATGCAATAAGAGGGCTCTACTGTAATTCACAACTGATAAGGGCAACAACAATCTTGGTTTCAACTAGCTCAATTTATGTAATTGAGTCTTGATACAATAATAGAGTATCCAACTCAATGCCAATGAGATAGCAATGGTGGCGTCTGGTTCGGCCTTCCGGTTTGAACCTGAACCAGACTTAAATGAGAGCAACAAAAATACTCTAGTACCCAACCCATTAGCACTACTGTCCTATTTCAATCAAGTGTTGGCCATTTTTTCCAAAATTCAGGACCAGGAAAATTTTCTTTTCATTTATGGTAATTTTTCATAAGGACTTTTTTTCATATAACTAGGAAACTTAATCAAAATAGGACAGTATTTAAGTGAGCCAGGAGTTATGACCCCTGATGATAGCTATAACTCAAATTTTTCAATGCAAGCTTAGTTATAATACAACAGTTACAGTGACCAGATGGTTGCTATTTTTACAAATGATGGCATGTCCAAAAGAAATAATTTATGTGATGCTGGTATTCATCGAGGAAGAGGATAGGTTGTGCTTTTGGCTGTGGTATTAACATATCAACATCTTGCTAAACAAGTATGCTTGATCTCCCATATTTGATAGCTGGAATGTTGGCTTCATCACCATTGATGCTGTCTCAAGCAATGGCACAAGTGATAGTGTGTATTGACATATCGCCAAACTCAGTGATTTTATAGCAAGAGTGTTGGCCCTAGTTGGACAATAACACAATAGACACTATTGTTGATGTGTCTAAACCCCATGGGTAGACAGGAAGAGGATAGGTATATGTATTGCAGTGGTGGTCAGACA